ACAAGACTAATTTGGCATCAAAAGACCTAAGTTTGAATCTGTTACTTCCCAGCTGGATGGCTTTGTAGAAGTCATTTAACCTCTTTGAGTTCAAGTCATCTCCTTTGTAAAGTAGAGATAATTACAGAGCTAATGAATATTCCAGACAGCAGTGTTTTCCTGACCACCCTCATAAAATAACAAACCCCTCACTCTCCACCCCCATTATTCCGCTTTATTTTTCTCCATAGCACTTATATTCATTTGCTCAAGCTATCAGAACAAAAGACTACAGACTGAGTGGCCTCAACAGAGATTTATTTGTCACAGTTCTGGAGGCTAGAAGCCCAAGATCAAGGTGTTGGCAAGCTTGCTTCTCCTGAGGCCTCCCTCCTTGGCTGGCAGACGGCCTCCTTTATACCCTCTGTACAGTGTCCTCATGTGGCCTTTCCTCTGTGCACATGTCCCCCTCGTGTCCTCTTCTTATGAGGCCACAGTCAGCTGGGATTAGGGCCCACCCTAATGGCCTCATTTTTACTTAACCACCTCCTTTAAGGCCCCATATCCAAATAATCACATTGTGAGGTACAGGGGGTTAGATCTTCAACATTTGAATGGGGGACCCCAATTCAGCCTGTAACAGCACTGACATTATATTAGATATTTATCTATAATCATAAACTCCACAAGAGATCATTTTTCTTCACCACATATAACTAGCACTTAAAACAGTGCCTGGCACGTAATAGGTGCTCGATAAACATTTGTTGAATGACTTAATGAACCGTGCTTCCTGTAATGACAGTTCCAACATACCCTAGTTCCAGCAGGAAGACACCCCCCAACAGGTGGGCCAGGAGAGATCCTCCCTAAAGGCCCTTCTAATCATTGCCCCATGATTAGTTTCTGTTGCACTTGCCCTGTGATCCCAGAACTGAGAGAAAACTCCATGAGGTGCTTATTTAACACTTCATTTCCAAACTCATGAAAAGCCTTGAGCACCAAAGTTGGAAGGGAATTCATACATCATCAGATTCAACTTAAAACACAGTGAAAGAAAGCGCTTTACAGCATTCCTTGATAAGCTTCTCCATGATCAGGTCCAGGGACTGGAAGCCCTTGACTTCTGGAAACAGCCTGTTCTGTGGTTAGAAAGCATTATTTTGTGTATACAATGGTGCATAAGCAAAGATACTCTTCTCAGAACTGGTTATAATAGTGAAAAAAGAAAATAAATACCTCTAAGGAGGCAAAGTGGTTTACCCATACAGGAGTGGTAGTTTTCAGTGATTTAAATAAACACATTAGATTTAATACAGCTAAATGGACACCTCAAAAAACATAATATTGAAAAATTTGATATTATATGTACAAAGATAATTTACATGTATTTCATATATGTAACTATTAATTTTTAAATATTGTATATTGGGTATAGAAACCTGAGTAGTGGTGGCCTCTGAGGAGGGAAGGAGGAGGTGTAAGGGGGGAACTTGAGCCTTCTCTCTAACATGCCTAAAGCAAACATGGCAAAGTGGGATAGGTACCTAATACAATTTTTTTTTTTCTGAATCTCTCTGATATTTGAAAGGTCTTAATTTTTGAAATAAGTTTAGTAGTGAACAGGGGAAAATTTTATCTTTAACTGAGCTGATATTAGGCCCCATATTCAGCTTCTGATCCAAGTTCTGATCTCTGGGGCCAACAGGGATGAATTTTCTTTCTCTTCCACGCCATCCATTGTCTTCCTCGGCGGGAGGGACAGGCGACGTGACTTCAGTACTGGCCTTGGGGCCAATACTTTGGCTGAACTGCTTCTGGACAGACTCCCTCCTTCCCCTACTTACTGAGTCAATCCATACATGAGAAGTACCCTTCTGTGTGGACACCAGCACTCTCGTCCTAGGTCAATGCCTAGTGAGAGAAACAGTAACACAACCAGATAGCTACATGCAGTGTTCTAACTGGACAGCTTGCACAAAGGGCTTGAAATTAGAGGATGAGGGCTCCCCTGCCTTAGGGGTGGGCGGCTGGAGAGGTTTAGCTAGGAAGAGTGACCCCTGAGTGGGCCTGGTCCGGAAGCGGCTCACCCCGCTTCTGCTCACATTCCATCGGGCCACAAGGAAGGGAAGTGGAGAAATGGAATCCAGCTATGTTCCCAGGAAGAAAGGGAAATGAGTTTAGTCAAGTTTTCCAGTCTCTTCCACAAGTACTAAATAGAAAGGACTAGACTAGATGATGTTTTTAAAAACTACTGAAGGCAGGGTAGTTGTCTATCCAGGGCTGGCGATTCCCAGCAGACATATGTGGCCTTTTCAAAGAAGAAAATTCAGAGTCAGATGCCCAGGAAATCGGAGATGCAGCTGCTTCCCTAGCAGTCTCACTTGAGGAAAGTAGCAAGCAGCCTTCAGGAAGGGGGGAGGGGAGGGGGTTGCAACCCAAGGTGCAGGGTGGGACACAGAGGCACAACCTGGGGCCATTGCTCAGAGGAGAGATACAGACCGGAGGTGGCCCACATGTGCCAGGTCCAAGAAGGGTGGGGAGTCAAATGAGCTAATAGGGAGCTGGAAAAACAGATTCTGAAGAGCAAAACCAGGCTGAGGATCAAAGGCCAGCAAGTATCTAGAACTTTACTGAAAAGGTAAAAGTTTTTAATGTAGAAAATTGTACTCACAGGGCTGGAACCTTTATGACCAAAAGGCATTGCCTACATGTAATTATTAGCACTTATTTAGCATTTCCTATGTTCCAGACATGGATCTAAGCACTTACAAGCATTAGCTCATTGAATTTTACACATCTCCAGAAAACACGTTATGATAAATGCCATTTTATAGGTGGGAGAAATGAGATATAAAAAGTGGCTAAAGTACCTGCCCAAGGTCACACAAATGTGGTGTTTGGCATTCAAAACCAGACAGTCTAACTTCCTAACATGTGTCTTTGCCTTATCCAGGAAAATCACTGGGAGCGATGCATGCTTTCCTTTCTCGCCTGCCTGGTAGCGTCTTCCTGTCAGCTTTGACGTTTGCCCTCTGAGATTCTGTCACTGTTTGTTGTGCTCTCACATTTTCAATGGTGTGCTTCACAACTCTTCTCGCCTAATCCAAACTATAGCCCTAGTGGTGATTGTTATAATCTTCTTTTCCTTGTACCTGCTAAAGGTAAAGCCCAGAGACAGTGAGTGACGGACCGAAGGTACCTGACTGGCTGGTGGCACATTTTGAACGTGGGCGTCTTTCATCCTACGTCAGTGAACTTTCAGCCGTAACTGTTACAAACACGTGCTACCCATCACCCTGATAGAGCATGACATGACTTAGGGGGTTTAGGGATGGAACTTACAATTACATCATGTTAAGATAAAATGTCCCACCCTCCTTTCCCACAATTCCAAGTGGCAGTCCAGGAACTGCTCTCCAAAGGAAACCATCTGCCTGGAGCTAAAGTAAGAAGTTCCTTCTGTGCCGCACCAAGCCTTTTTCAGGCTCTGGGGGAATAATACTTGAATATGTTAATCAATGTGCACCTTTTTTTTCATTCCTAGAAATGCCTGTTGCCCTGTGATGCTTCCTCCATTCACAGAACCTCTCGGATAGCCGATATCCTGCCTCCAAGGAGGGCACAGCTCTGACGGCCCAGAACACAGAGACCAGAACAAAGGACCCTAGGGTGACTGTATTGCAAGGTAAGCACCTCAAAAATATAAAAAGACACACTCCCAGAGCAGATCAACATTTATCAGGCTGGGAGGAAGGAGAGAATTGGAAGATAAGAGAGTCTGATGTGGTGAGTGAATGGGAAGAGCCATGTGCCTTCCCACCAAGGCCAAGTTCGGAGGAAAGAGGATTTCAGAGCCCCAGGGTATCAGTGGAGGCTCCAAAGAAGAGGCAACTGTGCTCTCCATCCCAGAAGCAAGCCCCCAAATACAGCAGGACCCCAGAGCTGCCTGCACCCAGCCAAGAGGGGGCCAGAGAAACTATCTGCCTGCGGTCTGTGAGGGAGGTCCGAGACCCTGCATGGAATTAGAGCCACAGAGTGTTTGGAGCTTGCGCGCCAGATGGAGACGAGGGTGGCACGGGACGGTGTGAGCTCCTGTGGTGAAGGCGAAGGGGTGTCGTGGCTGGGCATGAAGGACGACACGGTAGCGACCTGTGAGGCCAAAGACATGTCCAGATGGGTGCAACATCGCACAGGGGAAACCCTCAGACAGACGGCAACCCCAGGACCAAGAGCGCCCTTCTCCCCGCCTCCACAGACGGAGCCGAGGTCCGGACACCTCCAAGCTTAGACGAGACCCTTAGAGAAGGGAGAATGTCCGTGTGACTGATGCTGTTTCTACCCTCTGAGTCAAGCTGTTAAAGTCTACTTCTTACATGCCAGAGATGGTAAGATGAGGTCTGTAATTACCACATAACCCAGACCTCCCTTTCTGCCCTTTCTGGCCCCTTCCTCAGGGCCCAGCTCCACCACCCCCAGCCCTACCAAGCGAAGCTAGGGCTGAGCAGGGACTGGATTTCTGGGGAACTTGACCCTGGAGCCCCCCTCTTACTGCCTCCAGCTGCCAGGGTCATTTGTCTGCGGCGACGGTAACAAATGGCCCTGTCAGAGCAGGTGGGGGCGGGGGAGGGCTCCGAACGTCCTGGCAGGGACGCTTTCCCAGAAGAGCTGCCCCTGGCCCCCGAGGCCTGCTGTGACATCGATGAACGGAGGCAGCGCCAATCACTTCTGCCCCGCCTCTGGCTGGGACCCTGGGACCCCTCCCTCCTCCTCCACAGGCCCCGGCCACACCTTCACCGGGGCTCACCCGGGCATGTGCCGCATCTCCCAGGGCCACCCTCAGCTGGGCTCCAGGTGGGACCTGTCTCCGTCAGCCCTCCCCCCCATGCGCTCCCAACACAAGCCCCCTGGCCCTTCCCCCATGTAAGGGGCCCTGTGAGTGCTGCTGGGGGATGGACAGACAGGGAGGGCTGCTGTCCCCGTGGAGCAGAAGAGATGTCCTTATCATCAGCCCTCTAATGATGGCGGACATTTCCGTGTCTGGGCCACGTGCTAAGTGCTTTACCCACGTGGTCTGCTTCACCCCCATGACAACTCCAAGAGGTAGAGACTCTTACTGGCCACATTTCATAGATAAAGAGACTGAGGTTCTGAGAGGCAAGATGGCATGGCTCATATGTGGTGAAGACTATTACAGAGATGCAGCACTTCAGACTCCAAAGCCCACACCTTAACCACTATACACCATAGAAAGGCTGTGTGTGCCGTTATCTGGAGCTTAGCTCAGAAACACAAGTCAACTGGCTGTGACAGCAAAATGATTCTACTGCCTCTTTCCTAGATGAACCAGGTGCTGGGACAGAATAAAGCTGGCCCTGAAGACTGTAGGAATCTGCACCTACGGCTGAAAGGATCTGAGAACAGTCGTGTCTGGCAACTGACTCCTCTCTACCTGTATGTTCCAGCTGCTGAAACGTCTAACAGAACGCCAGGAATCCCGTTCTCCATCCAGGCAGCTGCAGGACTCTGCAGATGCGCGCCTGGGTCGGTGTTAATGCAGCTGCATCACCACCTGGTTTTCGTGTGCTTAAAGAGTTACAGATTCGCTGTCTCCCTAAATACTTACGTGACTTATGTCAAAGCTGGAGAGTCAGGCACTGGCCCTCAGAGCAGACTATACAGATTCCATTTTCTTCAGAGAGAACTTGAAGAAAGTTCTGGACAGGTGGTGATGTTGACCTGGAAGAAAGTGAACCAGGTTTCAGAATTGTTCATGTGCCCACATTATTTTAATTTCAATGATATGACTGAAACCTTGAAAGACCAAGGATTTTAACTTTCTACTGTAAGTTGTTGAAATCGAACTCAAAGAGGCCAAAACAGAAATAGGAAGAAAGGAAGCAAGAGGGGAAGTAAGGGTCCTCACTAGCTCATGTTACTGAAAGTTCCACAGATTTCAGGTGTGGCAGGATGCAGGAGTTTTAACAATGTCCTCAGAACTGCATTTCCCTGTCTCTTCCAGCTTCCCTGTGTTACCTTCACTCTCTAGTGGTCTCTTCTCTCAGAATGGCAAGGCAGCTAACAAAAGACCTGATTCATATCTTACCAGCTCGGCAACACTGATGGAAAGCACATTCCTCTTTTCCAATAGCTCCTGCAACAGTCCCAGGACCAGCATTGGTGCAATTCAGAGCTCTGGGTCTCTACTCTAGATTTTGGGTTGAGTTCTGAAGCCAGAGTGAGGTTTGCTAGACTGGATGACTAGTGAGTAAGAAAACTGGGCTTCCTCAGGTAGTCTGCTCTGCTGAGCAGGGCCAAGTGGAGAACCAGAAGTTTCTCTTCACGTCAGGAGTCATGCAGTAAGCTGACCCATGAAGCTCCACAGCATACCCAGAAGCTTTTATCTTCTCAGTATCTTTGCTGTTGTTGAGGAAAATGAAGCTACAAGAGGGAGAATAGTTAGATCTACGCAACATGAGCTCAGGTTCCAATTCACATATGACTGATTCCAACACAACTGTGTTCCATCTTCCACGCTGTGTCCTGGGCCAGAAAAAAAATAGAAAATCAAATTTCAAAAAATATCCCAGCTCCAGAAGAAACTATTTGGTTGGGTTCCCCTTGCACAGATTTCTATTCTTCTCTGAGCTTTAGTTTCTGCAGCTATAAAATGACAACATTGTCCTGAATCAGTCGTGTTCACAGGTAGCAGAGGGGTCTAAGGGGTGACAGAATTTTCAGAAAGCATATGGGAAATTGTCTCATTCAACCCCAAATGTAACATGCAGCTTCCTCTGGATGCAATGGCCATGCTTGCCCATCAATGACAGTTTAATAACCAAAATGATAATAACTCAATGTGGCCTCAGTGCCTTTGGCAAATTTTTTCATTTAATCTTTTCCTTTTCCTAGTTACGTAACATTGCAAACATAGAGCAAAATGTGTCAGTCACATGTAATCTTTTCCAAGATCAGACAGATGTTAACATTTCCCCATATTGCTTTAACACTCTTTTTAAAGAAACAAAATGTCACATACACTAGTAAACTCCCCTTCATCAATATTCCACGTTCTTTCTTCTATTTCCATCCTTCCCCAGAGTAACTTCAATATTGAGTTTGTATGAATAAATCACAAATATGTTTATATTCATTCTATTTTTGTATATATGCATCAACTATATCATCTATGTGTAGATATGTATTTTTGAATGTGTTTTAAAATTTTGCATGCATTATCTTTTTACAATTTCCCCTGCCCTCAAACTTATTTTTCTTAATTTATTTATATTGATAAATGTGGACCTCATTTGTTCATATAAACTGCAGTATCATACCCTATTGTGAATAAACTACAATTTACATTCCCCAACTGAGAGAATATTGGTTGTTTTTATATTCCTGCAATGACCACCTACTATGATAAGTATCTGTATAGTTTTCCTTGGGCATGTAATGGGAGAGTATCTCCAGCCCAAATATCCAGAAACAGAATTGGTAGGTGATGAGTGTGTCTTCAGTTTCACTAGGTAATATGCCAAATTGCCATCCAACAATGTCTTTACCAATTTACACCCCTACCAGAAACATGAACATCCACTTTCCCACATCCTCACCAACAGTTGTGTTGCCAGATTTATTGATTTTGTCAATCTGACAAGCACAGCTGGTATTTCACTCTTACATTTTGAATAGGCCCAATAGTGACATTGAGAACATTTTTTATAGTTTATTGGAGATCAGGTTCTCTTTTTCTTTGAATTACTTTTGCACATAGCTTATTATTATTGAGTTCTTTGTTTCTTAATGATCTGTGAGGGTTCTTAATACATCCAAGACACTAATCTCTTATTGACTGTATGGTCTGCTAGTACCTTCTCTCAGACTATCTGTTCCCGAGGTTTAAGATGTATTTTGTCATACAGAAGTTTTAATTTAATATAGTAATGTCTATCAATATCCTCCTTTATGACTTGAATTTTTCCTGTTCTATTTAAGAAATTTTCCCCGACTGCAATATCATAAAAAGATTCTCCCAGGCTTTCTTCTAAAGGTTTTGCATTATTGCTTTTCACATGTATAATTTTAATGCATCTAGAATTTTTTTTATCAAGCATAAAGTTAGGCATTCTAATTTTAATCTGTTTCCATATGGATAGCAAATTGTCTCAGCACCAATAGTTCACTAATTTATAATGTCATACTCCAGACTCCATAATTACATGGAGGTCTGTGCTTTGATGGTTTTGTAACATTGCTCTGTGCAGTTCACTCCTGTGCCAATACCACACTGTTTCAATTGTGGGGCATTCCTGGTTACAGTCTCCAAACCCATCTTTCCACACTCTCCTTGGTGATGCTGGGGCCAGGGCTCTGCAAAACTCAGGTCTGCTTTGCCATTTGCTACTGTTAGGCTCTGCCAATAGCGAACTGGCAAAAGACACCTAGAGGCTGGATGAGGAATCAAGGGCTCACTCCTTCCTGTCTGCTACTTCCTGTGCGCCACACCCCCTCACTTCCTCAGCCCAGGCAGAGCGGTTCTTTCCTGTAGCAAGACTTGCCCAGCACCAACTGAGCATGTTCCCGCCTCAGAACTCCAAGATGCATCAGTGCCAGGTCTTCCTCTAGGCATTAATTTTCAATAACTCCAACCACTTTCCTTTGTCTCTTGGTTCCAGAGTTAGTAGTTAATTCCCGTAGCTACTGCCTTTGTGGTATCTTTCTGTCCTTTATAGCCTTTTATTTACCTGATCAATTTTATACCCAGTTTACAGTTCTTCAAATTAAACTCTCTGTTAAAACAACTGGTGTGGTTTCTGTCTCTTGACTAGACCTTTGTTGATTAAGCAACTTTACAGTAAATCTTGACACTGAGGAAGGAAATGCCCACTCTTTATTTTGCTTCTCCGAAATTGTCTTGAATCTTCTTGGCCCTTACACCCTTCCTTACAGGAGTCTTACAGACTTTCTTGGTGATTCCACCAAAATAATGATATTAAGCATTTGGATATTTATATAGCAATTGCATAAACTGATAGCTAAATGTGTGATGAATTGACACTTAAACTGATTTTCTGATCCAGGAACAGAGCATGATTTTCCCATTTCCTTAGGTCTTCTCATGTTTTTCAATAGGATTATCATATTTTTCTCCATAGAGTTTACATGTGTCCTCTGCTAGATATATTTCTAATTAATTTAGAGGTTTTGTTGTTATGGTACATTGACTCTTTTTAATTACTGGTTTTAATTGTTTCTGGCTAGTGTTTAAGAACACAATTGATTTTTTCCTGTATATTGATCTTGTATCCAGCCACTTGATGAACTCTTGTATTTGTTGTTAATATGACTATATATTTTGCAAAATTTTTCTATGGAAACATATTAAATGTGAATAATGACAGCCTTGATCCTTTCTTTACAATCGTTATACCTTTTATTTCTTGATGTGTATGTGTGCTGGTATGCGTGTATGTGTCTTATTACACTGTCATTGCACCTCCAGCTCAATACTGAATAGATGCACTTCCTTTTTGTGGCCAAGATGGAGTTACAGGAACTGAATTTAACTTCTCACCAGAAACATTTGAAAAATTATGAAACAGTGGTTCTCAAGACATTGAATATTAGCCAAAAAGGGTCAGTGAGCTCTGGGAGAGAAAAAACAACCAGGTAAGCTCTGTGATTACCCCAACTTCCTGCACAGGGAGGGTGGCCCCTGGCAATGTGAGGTCCACTTGAGGTAAGAAAATGAATCTGAGATTCCAGAAAAGTGGCTAGAGTCTGTGAGAAAGAATGCCAGAGAGGACAAAGCAATTCAGAGAAAGAGAGATCTTCAGAGATATGCAGAAGGTTCCCATTGAGTCCTCAGCTGAATCCTGATCAAATCATAAATGTGAGAAAACTCCCCGAGGTGAGGTAAAGAACCACCATAAAGGATTAAAGGATTAATGGGTTCAATACGCCCTCCTGAAATCACACAAGGCCAGGAAATAAAGCCTGTTCCCACCAGTCATTGTGGAAAACCTCATCATTCACAGAGCATTGGGTTGAGTACTAAAAGGGTTTTGCCTCAGTAGTGGGGCAAGGTTAGCCCCAAGCTA